GTTTGGAACTTTATTCTTTGGGTGATGGAGATTTTTGAAAGAGGGACTATATTTGTGTTTTAGGGAGTTCATTCTGATGGTTACAGGAAGATGGTGAAAGCGGAAGACAGTGCCCCCAGGTAAAACTACCGCCAATTTTCCAGGCAAGAAATGAGGAGGATCTGAAGTAAGAAAGGGAAGTATAGTTAGAAAAAATTGGAGGGGACCAATTTAATGTATTCAGGGACTTGCTGGCTGATTGGCTAAGGGAGTGTGAGAGGGAGAACAGTCTAAGAGGACTTACTCTCTCGCTGATTTGAGTGGACAGATGTGTCTTGATCGTGGCGGACACCTGTGGCTCTGTCTACCTAGCATCGTGTGTTTTTCACTGAAAAAAAAAAGACACCTTTTCTCTGAAAACTCCTTAACAATTTACTTCAAAGGAGATGTAATTATTTTTCCCATAATTTTCATGGTAGGCCATTAACTGAGTTGGGAAAGAGTAGTGAGTGGCCAGTCTGGAAGAGAGGATGATGAGGTCAGTTTTGGACATTTTAGGCCGAGTTGCTTTGGACATCCACGTGAAGATTTTTAGTAATGATTTCATTACCAAGCTGAAGATCAGAAGATAGATCACATTCTCCAAGTCATCAAAAACATATTAAAAAAGACAATTTTAAGTATGAGGCCTTTTAATATGTCACTTGATATAACCAAGAAAACATTAATCTTTTTAGGGTATAATTGTTTAAGTCGCCACATCTCTATTCAGTTGAAATAGCATTCAGCTTAGCATTCTCACACTGATTCACACTGATATAAAACATTTTTCTAAGACATTTGATGTAATCAAGATCAAGTATTTTTGTGGAATTCCCCTGATCTGTTAGTTCAACAGACTATCGCAGACACAGTGGAAATGAGGGTAGTCTGACATGGCTTGGCCTCGGTGAACATAGATCCAAATGAGTGTTGCTGTTTTCTAAATATTTATCTCAAATGTTTATTTTGCCGGCTACATCATCATTCCTCATGTAAAAAGTAATAGATAGGTACACAGAGTCTTTGAATAACCTCTGCACAGATTGTAGAACTTGTCTCTGTTAACCTTGTCAGTTCTATGCATGGATGCTTTCGGACCTCCCAGCAAGGGAGGTCCCAGGATTCCATAAACTTAATGGTGCCTATGAGTTGTCCTGGTTGTCCTGTTCAGCATGGAAAGGTGGTGCTTCAGAAACGCCAGGTTGGCTCTTCATCAGGCAAGTATCTTTTCTTTTATGCCATAGCAGAGGCTATGAACAGCACAATGGTCTTTTCAAGGTAGAAAACCTGGGGTGCAAGTGTTGGTTCCAGTAGTTACATGCTGTGCGATCTAGGCAGGGTTAAACATGCTGAGCCACAATTTTTCTTATCTGGAACATAGGAACAATGATTAATTCCTTACCACATTTGTGGGACTTAGATGAGATCATGCATATGTAGTATACTAAATTAGTTCATGGCCCATACTCAACTGGTTTTTTTTTTAAGATTTTATTTATTTACTTTTAGAGAGAGGGGAGGGAATGGAGAAAGAGAGGGAGAGAACATCAGTGTGCAAGAGATACACTGATCCATTGGTTGCCTCTCACAGGCCCCCAGTTGGACCTGACCCACAACCCAGGCATGTGCCCTGACTGGGAATCAAACCAGTGACCTTCTGGTTCACAGTCTGGTGCTCAGTCCACTGAGCCACTCCAGCCAGGGCCATAGTCAACTTTCAAAAAAGAATAACTATGGCTGTGCATTAGGTGATGACATTGTTTGTATCTTCTCATTTCTCATTTACCCACATTTATCACTGGTCTGGCTTCCTTTACATATCATTGGCTTTTCTTCCTGATTCCCTTTTTGAATGACTTCTTTCTTCACGGCTGGGTATAGCTCATCCTCATGAAAAAGCTAAGACATGTTTCTCTACTAATAAGAGCTGTCTGTATGAATAGCTTGTATAATTGGTGACCTTCTTAGGTCATTCCTATCCATGGCCCTGGCAAAGTGTCTGTTTCTGGGCTGGTTCTCCAGTAACTCCAGGCTGATCAAAACCACACTGTGGGTAAATTATGTACACTTTACTAAACATGTTAACACAAACAGTTACACACACCAGGCTCACCATCCCCTTATGAGACTCCCATTTCTTTCTGGTTGAATCTGGCATGACAGAATGGCCGAGGCAAAACTGCCTCGGCAGCCTAAGGCAGCAGGGCCTTGTTATGTAATACGCAACATCAGAGCAAAGGTAGAGAAGAGGCTCAAAGATGGCGCACCCATTAAAAGAACTAGACAGTTTTGGAGCGACATCCTGAATAGCCCTTTCATCTATCCGCTTCTCTCCAGACCCATTCCCAAGTCCCCAATAATGCTGTCCTCAGTTGCAGCCCATTCTCTCTTCCACCACCAAAGGGAGCTTTCTGACTTGCAAATATGTCTCTGTCGCTTTGCTGCACGGACCATTCAGTCCAGCTTAAATGAAGCCCCTGGTGAGTTAGCCATGGCAGACCTCTCCAATCACGCGTCTCACCGCTTATAGCCTTCTAGTCTACGGTTCAACCACACCAACTATTGGGGTTTCAATTTCTCAAGTGCTCTGTGATATCTCCTGTCCCCCAAGCTTTGCCCTTGTGGTAAATACTCTTTGATAAGAAGCTTCCTTTATTTCCTCAACCTTTTACCTTTGGCCTGATCTAGATACAACTTCTTCTGGGAGTCTTTTTCTGATCCAAGGCTGGGTTAGTTGCCTCTCCAATGAATAAATTGTGAATCATGGCATTTATCACATTATAAAGTGACTGCCTTTTTGCTTTTCTAGATTAGTCTGCTTTGCTCAACACTGTGTGGTCAGTACTACACACAGCACTCAGCACAGAATAAAGCCCTAAGTAAACTGATGTTGAATCAGCAAATGAATTAATGAATCATGACATTAAAAGGTGATGAGTCAGAACTGAGGTAACAATCCTAACTATCCATGAAACATTTGGGACACATTTATTAAAAAAAAAAAAAGATTTGTTGTTTTTCTAAAATTCAAATGTAACTGGGCATCCCACATTTTATCTGGCACCCTTACTTGCTAATTAAGTATCTTTTTCTGCATGTCTAACAGATAATGTACTAATTTCAAAAAGCCCAAGTCTTTAATTATGTGCTGCCTTAGCATGTCAGTGTAGTGAATGATCATGTTACTGGTGATGAATAAATTGCTTCTCTCTTTCTTTCTTTCCGCAATGGGGGTTGAGTAGGTTTCCTGGTTGAATTTCAGCACTTCAATGGCCTGACTTAATGTGAACCAACATAACATGCATTCCTTTGCATGCCCTAGTGTTTTGAACACTGCAGTTGGTTAAGTTCAGAGGGACAGCTGAGACCCTTAAAGTTACTAAGTCCTACTTCTTTTACACATTCCACTTATAGTCTAATTTGCTGAGTCCTTTTAAAGTCTCTCACTTTTAAGATTTACTTTCATTATTGCATAATCAGTAGTAACTGATGTTGAGTAATAATGAGTAATCTAATTTTTGCTTTTAATAAATGCATTAGATATTCAGTTTCACCAATAACCTATCAGAGATCCTTTTTAAGATAGAGCTTATTTTCTTAGTGAACTATTAAGGAAACAAATACTGATAAAGTTAAGTGTATAAGTATTCATAACAAGCAATTTCATAACAAGATATTGGTGACAAAGGGAAAAATGTTTAATACAAAGTTGGTTACACAATCTAATATATTTGTGGAGCATTTGCTAAAACATGGAAAAAATACTAGACTACTAGAAATTTTTAACCTAAATTGCCACACAAGGAAAGTTAAATCCAAATCATTCATTTATTAAGAATATTGCCCTGGCCGATGTAGCTCGGTGGATTGAGCACGGGCTGCGAACCAAAATGTCGCAGGTTCGATTCCCAGTCAGGGTACATGCCTGGGTTGCAGGCCATGACCCCCAGCAACCGCACATTGATGTTTCTCTCTCTTTCTATCTCCCTCCCTTCCTTCTCTAAAAATAAATAAATAAAATCTTTAAAAAAAAGAGAACAGTATTAAGTATATTTACTTCCATTTAAGGTTCTAGCCTGGAAGCAGTTGCAGATGTAAAAATGAGTGCCTTCCAGAAAGAACAGTCATATTTAAGGATGTGATATAATTTGTCAGGATAAACAAGTGATTGATGCTACATAAGAGGCACAGGAATACTTCAGTGAGAACGCAGAAGATGTAAGTAAACTCCCTTTCAACTGGAGGAACCAAGTAACTTCATTCATTGTTTTGTTTTTTAAATGATTTTTTCATTTTACTTATTTATTTTTAGAGACAGGGGAAGAGAGGGAGGAAGAAAGGAAGAGAAACACTGATATGTGAGAGATACATTGATTGGCTATCTTTTGCATGCCCCCAACTGGGGACCTGGCCTGCAACCCAGGCATATGCCCTGACTAGGAATCAAACCAGTGACCTTTTGGTTCACAGGCTGGCACTCAGTCCACTGAGTCACACCAGCCAGGGCTGTTTATGGTTTTTGTAGATGTGGTAGCGTTGGTCTTGGGCCTTTCAGGAAAGGCAAGATTCCAAGATGTGTAAGAGGGCACTACCATGCAGAGGGTCCCTGCAGGCAAAGCCCTTCTTTACCTTTAACAGGAGCACCATTCCATTGCTTGAAAATCACACCCTCTAAAGAAGACCTTGAACAATGTTCACACCATGACCGCATACCTGAGAATTTCCAAGATAGTGTCACAAAATGCTAATAATTTTAAGATACCGACAGAATTGAGAGCATGACTAGAGCTATGCCGAGAAAATAGGGGGTAGGGAGTTATCTGTGTATGTGATAGCCACTTATAACTAAATTTAGTGTATTAATATATGTATTTAAAGATAATGCTTCCATACAATTAACCTGTGACTGGATGTGAGAGACAGTCTCTGGAAGCTCTTTCCCTAAGTTGTGTAACTCAGTTGACACAGATGAACATTCCTTAAAGAGCGCGTGGCTTTCCCCAGCCTGCAGCCCTGAGCGCCGCAGCCACGCTGGGATGCCTCAGGAGGAAGTTTCTGTGGGTGTGCTGCAGCGCGGGAGGGAACAGCTCCAGGGGAGGCTGCGGGGATTTTCGTCTCCTGCACCTCAGTTCTGATTCATTTTCTAGGCTCACGTACTCTAAGTATCTGGGCCAAAAGGTGGGGAAGGCAATTGCAAGGCTAAAGCCTAAGCCTTCCTCTCACCCCTTTCTGTGTATCACAGGATGCTCTCCCTCCAGGCAAGCTTTCCTCTCTCATTTTGTTCTCAAGGTCACTGCAGCCAGAATGAGAACGGGAATGACAGGGGAGGCCAACCACGGAAACCGGAACTACAGATCCACTGACCCTAACCTGCATTTCCAAAATCCAAAAAGGTCTACAAACTGAGTTTTTGGTAACTCAGTTGGCAGCAAAATCTGACCTTACCTGAACTCATTTGAAAGCAAAATCTTACCTGGACTGACATGAGGCTATTTACTGTCTATGACCAACTAGTGTTAAGTACTCACATATTTTACTGCAGAAATGTTAATGTATTTCAGTACAGAGTGCTCCCCAGAGTCTTCTGGCAGAGCAAATAATATTCAGCGCTTAAAAAGTTTTTTTTTAATCCTCACTTGAGGACATTTTTTTTTCATTGCTTGCAGGGAGAGAGGAAGGGAGAGAGAGAAACATTGATTGGTTGCCTCCCATACACTCCCGGACCAGGGATCACATGTGCCCGGACCAGAGATTGAAGCCATGACCCAGACATGTGCCCCGATGAGAAGCAAACTCACCACCTTTCGGTTATAGGACAACGTTCCAGCCAACTGAGCCTCCCTGGCCAGGGCCTGTAGCACTTTTAAAAACATCCAAGATCATTCTGAATTCTGACGTCTGGCCCCAGGGGTTGTGATAAGGCCTTGTGGCCCTGCATACAAAATGTGCCACTGACTGTGCACAGGCTGGAGAGGGCAAAGGACGAACCTTGGTTCAGTTATTATTTCTGAAGTCTCACTCTTTAGCATATGAAATGAATATTGTTCTAGAACAGTAGGTTTCAATGTGTAGTCTTGGGACACTAGACATTTGTAAGCTGTCTTATGGATCTATACATTTATCATTTTGTATAAAAATTTATTTGCACTTTATGACAACAGCAAGATTTTACCAATAGCTCATTAAAACAAAGGCAATTTCTTTTTCACTAATCTCTCTCTCTCTCTCTGTCTTTCTGTCTGTCTGTCTGTCTGTCTGTCTGTCTGTCTGTCTCTCTGATGTAGTGGCAGGTGAGGAAGATAAAAACAGGGCCAGCTCCATGGATATGTGACCAATACAGTCACACAAGGCCCCAGCACTGCGAAAGTGTATTAGTTGGAGTTACCCAGAGAAACAGAACCAGTAGGATGTGTACACATGCATATAGAGAAAGAGACGGTGCTTTATTATAAGAAATTAGCTTGTGATTATGGAGGCTGGCAAATCCAAGATCTGCCGGGTGAGCTGGAACGCTTTGGGTCCAGGAGAGCTGATGGTTTAGTTGCAGGCTGAGTCTGAATGCCTGAGGACCAGGTGTAAGTTCCAGTCTGAAGCTGGCGGGCTTGAGGTTTAGGAAGAGCTGATGTTTCAGTTTGAGTCTGAAAGCAGGAAAAAATTCTCTCTTACTTAGGGGGAGGCTCAGCCTTTTTGTTTTGTTCAACTGACTGGATGAAGTCCATCTATATCAGGGAAGGCAATCTGCTTCACTCAGTCCGTGATCTAAGTGTCAATTTCTTCCAGAAATACCCTCACAGAGAAGCACAGAAGGATGTTCATAGGTATCCCATGGCCCATTCAACTTGACACACGAAATTAACCATCCCATAGGGGGATCCCATGTTTGGAGTTTAATACTCTGTTGTCGCCATCTGGAAATTTTTTTAATCTTATCTTTGAATTTATATTTTCTAATTGAAGTGCAATGGGACATTGGAGATTGGGACCTCAACTCACCCACAGTCCACCTCCCACCACCTCTTTTCCTCCCAGGACCAGTTCTCGTGTGCCTGCTTCCACATCCCTGCCCAGTGACCACAGCTGTGCTCCGCCCCGGGTGTGGGGCCTGGGCAAGGGGAGGGGAAGGATCAGGGTGGGCAGGAGCCAAGTCGGAGGGCAGCGCCCCAGGCACTGGGAGGGTTTCTGCTGGCACTGTGAGTATCCCTGTGCCTGAGGTTATGTGACACTAAGTAGCAAGAAACGAGGACAAAAACCCACCAGGACAGATCAAGACAACAATAATGGAAGAAAGAAAAAAACTTGTTTTCCTGATTTTTTTAACAAAGGACTTCAATTTTAATTTTCCACAGCACTCTGCAAATTATGTAGCTGGCACGGGATAGGAAGGACACTCAATGAAATCTTTACATTCTTCTTCCTTGTGTGAGCAAACACACCCACAAATACAGAGTTGGTTTTCCTTGTTGTTGTCTTTCCTATTTTTGATGGTATGGATGCAAAAGAAAAAAAGTTCCAGAATCAGTCAATTTGCCCTGGCTGGTGTGGCTCAGTGGACTGAGCACTGGCCTGTATACCAGAAGGTCACCAGTTCAATTCCTAGTCAGGGCACATGCCTGGGTTGTGGGCTAGGCCCCCAGATGGGGACATGTGGGAAGCAACTGATTGATGAATCTCCCACACATTGATGTTTCTCTCTCTCCCTTGCCCTCTCTCTAAAAAAATAAAAAAATAAAAAAATAAAAAAATAAATAAAATCTTAAAAAAAGATTTAGTCAATTCAACAAATACTTTAAATTTGGATTTCAATGGACTTTTCCCTTTTCCTCTCTTCTCATTTCCAGACTGCATACAGTCCTGCTGGTGTTTGCCAATGGCTCTTATAACTATTTTTATTCATTTCCACTCCTGCCAGCCTAGTGCAGGAATAGCCCTCCCATTGTCCTCCTCCTCCTCCTCCTTCATCTTCTTCTATCACCATTACTACTACCACTATCACCATAAGAAAAGTTATTATGCCTATAATGTGCCAGACATTATATTAAATGCTTAATATATTATTTAATGTATTCCACACAGCCACCCAGTAAGGTCTGTGGAATTACTCCCACTCTACAGAAGAGAAAACAATGGCTCAGGATTTGCATGTGGTCCATTGCTAAGCGGTGATAAACCCAGAAGTTGCATCTGGGTGTGCTCTTTCTCTGAAACACAGTATTCCACCTCAACAGCCTCTTAATGCAAATGGCTCATCTTGTTGTCTTCAAAAACAAGTTCAAACTTTTTTTATCTAGCATGTAGGGCTGCCACAATAGAACTATATCTATTTTTTAATCTTATCTTTGGTTACTTGTGCATTACTCAGGTCTCTGTCAGTTGTAAGTAAGAAAATCACAACAAAACTGAAACACCAAAGCAAATGGTTGACTCCTATAACTGGAAAGTCCAATGTGGGAGGAAGTTTCGCCTCAGGCACAGTGGACTCCAGAGATTTGAACTCTGCTCAGGACCTCCTTTCCTGCCATCATGGCTCTTTACGCTTCCAAATGGGCTTAATTGTTAGGCAGTCTTCTCTGTAATAGCAATGATGCCATGGCTGAGGTGAATTACACTGTCTTCATAGCTAACAATTGTAAAAAGATAAAATAACCCCTTCTCCTTTTATACCCCTATTCATCTCCTCAAAGGACTGTGATTGGCTCTGCCTGGGTTATATGGCTACTCCAGAGAAGTTCTGTGTTCTAGGCCAGGGGCATATAGTATACTGATTGGACAACGTATTGGTCAAAACTTAGACTCATGGCCTTACCTAGCTGCAAGGGAAGCTGAAAAATGTGGTTCTTGGTTGGGCTGCCATTTGCTGAACTAAAACTAAAGGATTGCTATTACTAAAAGAAGAAAAGAATGCACAGTGGTACAAGCACCAGAAAGTAAAAGAGAGATTAAATAAAGGTGAAATGAAGAGAGATGCATTTGCTTCATCCATTGACTTGCTGCTGAAACAGAAGTGTTAGCAAAGTTTTCCAAATTGTTAAATTGAAAAATAGCTCTTTTTGACCTTTAAGCCTGCTTTTTATCCCAAGTACCTTAGTACCTATTTTCCCTTCTTTCAATTTCATTGTTACTTCTGTCCCTAAGCTTAGCACTGGTGAAGAGCTAATACACTTAATAGGATTAGGGCACAGACAAAGGTTAGTTTATTCATTTAGTAATTTTTTTCTTGAGGGCCCACTATATGCAAAACACTGTTTTGGGGGCTTGTATACCTCACTGAACAAAATCAATATCCCTACCTGTGTTGCTCCTGTTCTAGTAAGGGGTGGGGAATACACAGTAAGCGAGAAACATTATCTCCCATGGAAACAATGGGAGACCATATCTCAGACAATCCTTTAAACTTCTGGAAGAGTGGAAATGACATGCCTTGGTCTTAAGGCCCCATAAGGATGGCACACGCTACAAGTGTGCTATGCAGACATTTGTTAAAAGATTCTTAACATTAAATAAATATCTCTCTATGGCCCCTTGGATCAAATTTTCTTTGAGAAAAAAAATATTGGTAGCCTCAATTTTTTTTTTTTTAACAAACAGCTCAATTAGTGGCTGTAGTGGGACTCCTTTCTGGTTTGTTAGAAACCTAAGTAGCTTACACCAAAAAGCAGTGGTGGTGGTAACAATTTTTAAAAAATATTCTGCAACATCTTATGCCTCAAGACAAGCTGAATGATCTTAGGGACAAATGGAACTAAAACATCAAATGTAGCCAGCACTTGTCTGTCTTACCCCTTTAGGTGTCAGCTCCCTTTTTTTTCCTTCTGAAGATTGGCTTCTTCTATATATGGTAAAACCCACTGTATCTCCAAATTTCACACCCCATGCTCTCATACAAGACCATATGGGATTCTCAGCCACACTTCAATGTGAGAAATTCCAAGGTAGCACTCTAACTGGCCTGGCTTGGATCTCGTGTCTAACCCTATATTGATACTCTATGGCTACGCAAGGAGGGTAACAGAAAAGACACTTTCCCTGGGAGTCTGCTTCTTGGGCACTCTCAGCTGGGCAACCAGCTCTGCTTTAGCATGGAAGCAATTTGATGGGTGATCATAAATTCTGAGAATATCTCATCATTTCCAAGAGCTGGTACCCAAGACTGAGCAGGTTACGAGTGG